GAAAGGAAAAGGTCATGAGGCAGCCAGAACCTTGACATTTATTGAGGAAAATGGTGAAGGGATTATCGGATGACTCAGAGGGCGGTGGCAGTCTTCTGTTGATCAGGACAGTGGGGAGAGATGGTAGGTTAATAAAGAGTTTGTTCTTTCCCCAAGGTGAAACCCTTTTTTATTACTACCTGGTTCTCCAGGAACCAGGATGTCTTCAGCTGATGTAATCTTGCTCTGGGGTGTCACAGCATCATGGATGTTGAGGTCTCAACTGTGACCAGAGGCACACGGAGTTATGTTTCCACATACCATACCTGTTGGGAGCCGTTTAAGCTGGAAAATAATTACACGTGCACGATGAAGCCAGCCTGAGAACACGGGAGCTCCTCAGAGTAAACAAGCCCCTGGGAGTAAACAAGGCTTCCTAACTTGTTAACTGGTTGCTGGGCAGTGAGACAAAAAGTTAACCAACCTCTCCAGGGTATAAATAAACGCTCTACTGTTTTGGGGAGTCCTCTTGCTCATCAGGCTATCTTCTCTTTTCTTTATTTTCTAAATCCTCCCGCCGTTTTCTCCTGGGGATCACTGAGACACCACCGAGTCCCACACATAACCAGCTCCCTTGGCAAGATACTAGGCCTTGGAAAAGCCCTAATCACAATTTAATTATGAAATTATTTTCTCCCCAAAAATGATATAGAATGGCCCTCAACAGTTTCAGTCCATAGTTGGCTGGCTCCAAGGCAGGGCAGTGTGGGAGACGGACATGGCAGAGAACAAACAGCTTATGGCAGGGTAGGCAGAAAAAAGCAACAGCACCAATTTTACTCCCCACCCCTTTTTCTGTAGTTGTTGCTCAGAAATCAAAGCAATGGAGACTAAAAAAAACACAAAGAATTGATGAAATGGAGAGCTGGTTATTTCAAAGAATAAGCAAAACAGACAAAGCCTTAGCCAATCTTACAAAAAGAAGATAAGACACAAATCAGGCAATTAGAAATGAAAAAAGTGAAATCACAAGACACCCCCCAAAATCAAGATTAGCAACTGCTTCAGAAACCTATATGCCAATAAACTGAAGAATTCCAATGAAATGGATAGATTCCTACATACATATGAATTACCCAAAGTGAATCAGTAAGATTTAAAAATCCTGAATAACACAGTAGCAAGCAGTGAAAATGAGCAGTAATTAAAAAAAAAACCTACCAACTAAGAAAAGTTCAAGACCTAAGAGATTTACTGTCAAATTCTGTAAGAACATCAGAGAAGATCTAAAATTAAAATCCCTCAAACTCTTTAATGAAATTAAAAGGGAAGGAGTACTCCGAAAGTCATTCTTGGAAGCTAGCACTACCCTGTTCTAAAACCAAACAAGGATCCTTTCAAAAAAGAAAACTACAGGCCAATCTCCTAAATGAAGACAGATTCAAAAATCCTCAACAAGATACTGGCAAACAGAATGCAACAAAGCATCAACAAGATCATACACTATGACCAAGTAGGCTTCATCCCAGGAATGCAAGGATGGTTCAATATATACAAATCAATCAATGTAATACATCACAAATAGAAGGGTAAAAACCAGAAGAACATTTCAATAGATGTAGGAAAAAAAACCTTTGACAAAATCCAATGTCTGTTCCTGATTAAAAAAACAAACAAAAAAAAAACTGAAGAAAATAGGTATAGAAGGATCTTATCTTAATCTGATAAAAAAAATATATGACAAGCCTACAGTGAATATCATATTAAATGGGGGCAACTGAAAGCTTTCCCTGTAAAATCAGGAACTGCTGAGGACCAACTTGACATAGTACAGATCAGGCAATAATTAATATTAATAAATTGGCACAAAAATAAATTGAGAGTCTGTCGTAGACCTACATGACATGCAGCAAGACCCCTGGCTGGTTTAAGGACAGGTTAATCTTTAAGACAACAGCCAGAGCCGAAGCTAGCAAACAGTCTGTGAAGTCCTAGTGCCTCAAAGCAAGATAAAAGGGCAGCTGAGGACCTCGATTCATGCAAATTCCATCTAGCTCAGTAGCTGCAGTTAGTAGACAACCAGGTTACTAGTTAATGCTGACCTGTTCCTGTGTGCTTTTCCAAAAATGTATTTTCCTCAATTCTTGAACCTTGACTGCATCAGCAATTCACCTTCACTGCTTCCTGCAGCCCATCAGCATACCCCTAAGGAAGCTGTACACCTATTAAAAGCCAAGAAACACCATGCCTTGTGATCCCAGTCACTGAGCTTTGACCATCTTGATGCATGTTGTAACTAAAATGTATGTTTTGTCTGTGTTTTAGTCTGTCATTGCACTTCTGAACAAGAGATTGGTGGTCCTCAATCAGGGCCCCACTAAGGAACAAGACAAGGATGTCCACTATCACTCTGCTTCAACATAGTCCTCAAAACATTAGCTAGGGCAATCAAGCAAGAGAAAAAAAATAAAAGGGATACATATGGCAAAGGGTAAAGTGCCATTATTTTCAGATGATATGGTCCTCTACCTAGAAGACACAAAAATATCATCAAAAGACTCCTAGAATTAATAAGCAAATTCAACAATATAGCATGGTAAAAATTAATACATAAAAATCAGTATCATTCCTATACACGAATACTAAACTCATTGAGAAAGAAATTAGGAACAATACCATTCACAATAGTACCAAGAAAAATCAAATACTTAGGAATTAACCTAGCCAATGAAAATTATATCATTTAGTAAAAGGAGAGCAAGGACATCAGAAAATGGAAAGACAATCCGTGTTCCTTAATAAGCAGAACCAATACGTAAGTCAAAATGGGTATGATGTATGGATTTAACACAATGCCAATCAAAATACCAAGGGCATTCCTCACAAATCTAGAGAAAACAACCTTAAAATTCATATGGAACCAGAAGAGTCCCAGAACAGCAAAACCAACTCTGGCTAACAATTCTGGCAAAGCAGAGGGTATCACAGTTCCAGAATGAAGTTGTATTATAAAGCTACAGTCATAAAAACAGCATGGTATTGGCACAAAAACAGACATATGGCTCAATGGAAGCAAAAGAACTCTAGGTACATTCTGTTACTTTATCTTTAACAAACTGTCCAAAAACATGCATGGGAGGAAAGATAGCCTCTTTAATAAATGGTGCAGGGAAAAGTAGGTATCTATATTCAGAAAGATTGAATCTAGACCAATGTATCTCACCATATACTAAAGGCAAAATGAATCAGAGATCTTAATGTGAAACAGAAACAATCTGTTGGAGGATAAAATAGGTAAAACTCTTGAAGACATAGGCATAGGGAAGGACTTTCTGAATAGAACCCCCCCAACAGCAACAACACAAGAAATAATACTAAGAATCAATAAATGGGATCCCACCAAATTTAAATGCTTCTGTACAGCAACCAACCAACACAGTGAAAAAACTATCTATAGGCTGAGAAAAAAATTTCTTTCCAGCTATTCCTTGGAGTATTAATATCTAGAATATGTACAGAACTCAAAAAAATTAGACCCTCCCCAAATAAAAGACCCAGGCAGAAATTGGGCAACTGAAATAAACACACTTCTCAGAAGTACAAATGCCCCATAAACACATTTTAAAATGCTATCTCTGGCCATTATAGAAATGCAAACTAAAACAATACTGATATATCATCTTAAAGAATGATATCCAGAAATCAAATGATAACAAGTGCTGGTGAGGCTGGGGGGGGGGGACCCTTCTACACTGTTGGTGGGAATGTAAACTAGTACAATCACTACGGAAATCAGCGTGGAGATACCTCAAAAAGCTAAAACTAGAAATTGCATTTAACCCAATTCTCCTACTTGTAGGTATCTTCCCAAAAGAGTTAAAGTCATCATATTACAATGATGCTGTATGTGTATGTTTATAGCAGCAAAATTTATAATAGCTAAAAAAGGGGAAAGGGGACCAAAAGTTGCAGGGCATGGGACTGGAGGAGAGGGAAAGAGCATGAAAGAAAAAAGTTATGTGCAAGTACCAACTTACTATGAGGAATGTAATCATTATATACTGCAAACACGTATTAACAACAACAAAAAAGTAAAACAATTAATTACTCAGGGACTAAAGAATTTACTTCAGCTGCCAGCTGTCACACTTGGTGCAAATCTCATTTGTTCACTTTTCAGTGTTAGTCTCGCTGCACGCCTTGTAACTCCTGTCCTCTCAACATGAGATTGCTCACTCATAGTACCATCTACTTCTAGAGCTGCGGTCTTAATCTGTAGTGCTGAGACTCTATATGGGTCCGTATCTCTGTTGGACAAATTCATAAATCATGAGTTTTTTTATATAAAACTTGAGTCATACGTTATACAACAGCATTAGGAACTGCAGTTCTAAAAGGGGAACCCGGCAACAAAACCAGAGACCCATGGTGCCAATCATTCCCCACCGCACACACACCGCCACCGCCACTCACCTGGATTCAATCAGCCTGAGTTCCTGGCTGCATGAACTCTTTTGCAACACCTCAGTCCCCCAGATCCTACCTCCCCAAATTCCTGCTGCAACCCCGGAACCCAGGAAGGCTCCCGCAGCCAGGTCTGTGAGTGCGGAAGGACCGCAGGGTCAGGGACGTCCCTGAGCACCGCCTCCGCGAGCCCGGGAGGCTGACGGAAACAGCTTCTCTGGACCGCAGCTCCAACGGTAGCTTTGGAACCCAGCAGCCGCCGGGCTGCCCAAGCTTGGCTGCTTCCTGGCTAGAGCCTCACAGCTAGGGATTGGGAAACTTCATTCTGGATACTAAGAAAACAAAAGCTGTGAAAACGTGGCCCAGTCCAGTGCAGGTTCCATCTCAAGTTGGACACAGCATACACAGTCACTGGCAAGTCGCTGAAGTTTTAAAGGGATCCTGAGATGCTCCAAAAAAATAAACAGGTACTTTTTCAATACATTTAAAAATCAAGGTCACAGCAAACAATGAAAAGTTGCTGTCATCCAAATAAGGGCAACAAAGAGGCAACTACTCAGACAAGTGAAGCTACAGGAAAAGGGGAAGGGTAAGCTCACCAGTACTGCTCTCCTGTATAGAAATGTAACCAGTGCTTAACAATGAAGTCAGAAAAACCACTTCTAAAGCGCCCTAAACCTCAGGGACAGGTAGAGTAGATAGGTTATTCACCCTGTGTGAAATCAGGTCCATCCTCACCTTTGTTCCCTACTACACCACCATTGTTCTGAAAGCCCTGTTACATACCACTGGTTCTTCTTACTTCACACTCCCAGCTGCATAGTTTGGGCCATTCTTTTGCTCCCATTACAATGCAAGGATTCAGGAAGAAAAACTACCCTCATCAGAAAAATTAACCTTACGGGGACTTGGAACAGAATTAGAGAAAGGACATTAGACTAAGAGATGAAGGGGAAAGACACCAAAATGGGACAGATCACTGAATCTGAGTAAAGTGAACCCTGAGCTGCATTAAATATATATACAACTTGTCAAATGATGAAGGCTTAAGATTTCTGAAGCTAGGCAATGAGGGGAAAAGGCTGTGTGAAACACTGATTTCTTAGCTTAAATTTTATGAATTATGGAAGTACTAAGAAACAGAAAACATATATATATGGGGGAAAAATAAGATAGCTCCTGGGCATGGTGTAAACCTGGCTACTTGGGAGGCTGATGCTGGAGCAAATTCAAGGCCAACCTGAGTGACTTGGCAAGACCCTGAAAAAGCTAGCTCATTAAGACAGTGCTCCTGGGCTCGATCCCTATACAGGAAAACAAAACAATGGACAAAAAACCCTACCAGAACATAAGATAGATAGGATATAGACAACTGATTCAACAGTTCTGGAAATCTACACACACACAGATCAAAAAAGGAAAGATAATGAAGAATGTGTTAACTGGCCCATCATCCAGTGATTATTTACATAAATAAATGTAAACAATGGCTACTGAGTTTCACTTTTAAATAAACTTATAGATAAAACAAAGGAGACTTTATAGTTATGTCAGAATGCAAATGTTAACTCTGGAACAATAAATGTGTAATTTATAGATGTTACAATGTAAACAGAGAAATGGAAGAAAAAGGGTACTTTTTTTTTGGCTTTTCTCCGGTACTGGGAATCGAACCTTGCACTTGCCAGGCAGGCGCTGTGCCACTGAGCTAAATCCCCAGCCCCAAAAAAGGGTACTTTTAATGACATCTCACAAAGTACACTTACTTCAAAGGTGAGTTAAAGACAGGTAAGTTAAATCCTTACCAACCAAGCAGAAAGTTAATATATCTCTAAACATGCAGACAAAAATACATGTATATGTGATAGAAACAGCTAGGAATGGTTAAAGGTGATTGATAATAGAATGTGGGGTGGCAATTTGGAAAAGAAGGGGTAAAAAATATTCCTTTCCATTATAAACATTCCTCGGATTTTATTTTCTAATCTTAGATATGTTATTTTGATAATTTTTAAAGAAATCATTCAAACCTGTACCTAGAGATGGAAAAATAATTGAACATAAAGATATTTTCAATTAGTCTGTAATAGTCTTCAGATTATGCATGATTTTTTATCTTTGTATTGACTCAGAAATGCATTTGATGGGAGTTTGATAAATCAAGTAAAATAAAAATCTTAAAAAGTAATCAGGATAGCTATGACTAAGGAGCTTTGAGAAAAAGAAAAAAAAATGCTCTTTGTAAACAACACAAATTAGAAAAAATATTTTAAATACAGATATTATAAATAACAATGTAAACATTTTCAATCTTTCCCAGACTCATTACAGACTGAAATACTTCCCAGACTTTTACTGAACTTCCAAGTTGTCTATGTTTGTTGTGCATTCATCTATCATATTCCTACACATCCACACAAAGAACCACAAACTGATAAGCAACTAGTCATAGTAATATTTGTCTATTTTTCATTTATACACACACACACACACACACACACATATATATATACATATGTATATATATCTGTTCACTTTTTCCTTTGTGATTTCTGTCTTCGGAGCTTAAAAATTCACCTTTATTTCCAATTCAAAGGTTTTTAACACTGTATTTTATAGTCTGAATTTTTTATAGTTCACACGGAATATTGAGTATGGCAGGGGATAGGCATCTAATCAATTATTCTAATACTATCTGTTGAATACCCCTTTACTTTTGCATATGTGAATATTTATTAACTAAATTCATATAGCACGATAATACCTTGGGGACTTGTATTAGACACTAGTAACAAACTCATCATTTTTGCCTCAATATTTACTTTTTTTGTTTTTTTTTTGTTTTGGTTTTTTTTGTTTTGTTTGGTTTTTTTCCGGTTCCGGGAACCGAACTCAGGACCTGCACTTGCCAGGCAGGCGCTTTTGCCACTGAGCTAAATCCCCAGCCCCTTGCCTCAATATTTAAATTTCACTTGTTTCATGTCAATGTTTGAGATGGTTCATTTAATAATTTATATTCTGGGCACAGTAAGTTTAAGATATGGAATGGTGAACAAAAAAAGATAGGGTTCTTTTCCTCATCGACTGTAAAATATGAATCAAAATCATGGCAAGAGTGAATACCACTAGGTTTGAGTTTTAAGACATTTTCATTACATCTGTGTAGCAGGTATGTTATACATTAATATTTACTTTGTGTAAGACTTTTTATTCACTGCATTGGTTTCACAAGATGAAATGTATCCAGAACTGTGATATTTATAACAAAAAAATCAAACAGGCACTTGGAAAACTTAGAAGAAAATGCTTCATCTTTTATTTCCAAGGAAAGGGCATGTTACCAAAAAAAAAAAAAAAAAAAAAAAGAAGACATTTGTTATGCCATTGAGTACAGAGCTCATGTTGCAAACATGTAACTGTTTGCAATACATATCTGATGATCTAAAAATCAAAATCACCTTGACAGGCTTCAGTCTTCCACTGTTTCATAAAAATCACATTATAGTGTTATCACATTATAATGACACACTACTGCTTTAAAGGCTCAAGTAAAATTGAGACCCAATAATTTTTAAGCAAACGTTTATCATATTTTACTGTTTTTATAGAATGAATAAACATACTAACACAGCACTTAGACATGCAACTTGTTTCAATTGCCTGAATATTCTAGAAATAAGCAAGACATTTAGATTGCTTTAATATTTCCAGTTAACGCCATTTGTATCAGTAACTGCAACACTGAACATTTGAGTACTAGTCAAAAAGGATTTTTTAAAAGACAGGACAACAGAATGATAGGAGATACAAGAATGTCACGTTTCATATTTCTGTTTAAAATTTAAAAATCAAAACGAGTGTCTTCTCCAGCATCAAAACTGTACCAGAGATTTGAACTATATTTTTTTTTTAGCTCTAATCCCATGACTCTTCATCAACTGGATTGGGAGCTTGTGAAGAAAACCCCGCTGTATTCAAAGTGTTCTTGCCCTGGTAATTCTTTAAAAAAGAAAGAAAAATTTAGGTTATGACAGCTTTAAAGTTACATTTCCCAGGATGAAGACAGGAACTCAAGCTTTCCACCTTCTCTGCCCCAAATGTACAGACTTTCATTCTCACTAAATCTGAATAACTTGACAAAAGGCTCGTACCAAACTGGAAGTCTAAATTGCACAAAATAATTCAAGATTTTTAAGCCACTAGTTTTGCTAAGTGGAAAAACTTAATGTTATACTTCAACAAATAAATATAAACATTTAAATAGTATGCTCATTGCATAAAAACTAACATGAAGACTTGCAGTCTCATAGCTCTAGTATTTCTGTCTTAATGTGGTCACATTCTTTAAAATTAAAGAATTAAAACTCTCGCAAGGTCCTGAGTTTGATTCCCAGTAAAAAAAAAATTAAAATTCTGAAAAAAGCTCAGGACATCCCACATTATAATTTAAAATTGCCTATACATTCAGAAAGGAAGGATGACTGAATATAACAAAGTTAATTCCTTGCCTTTAAAACCCAAAAATATATATGCACATAAAATTTTATAATTTACCTTCTAGATGTGAAAATAATGGTATAATTACTGAATGTTAATAGTTAACAATATCAAGCACAACATTTTAACTGGAAGTCAAGTTCTGAGTTTTTCCCCTTACTAACCTTTCTAGTGTCAACTGATGCAAACACATTTCCTCTTGTACTACCACTGAAGCCAGGAACATATGTACTAAAGGCAATTTCTTCCAACCATGCAGGCACATCCTGTTGAGCCTTTAAAAAAATTCATACGCAACATGAAGTCTCAAAAGACTGGAAGAGTTTGTCTCAACAACAGAGAAAACTATCCATTTGATTTTACAATTTTCAAACTTATATCTGGGTTCCTGGGTTGCCTAGGATGCACAAGGCCCTGGATTGATCCTCAGTATCACCAAAAAAAAAAAAAAAACTAAAACTTACATCTGACAGTACTTTCACTAGAGGCTGGGCTAAATGATTATCTGATTCTGGATCAAAAAAAGAAATAGCTCTTCCAGTATTCCCACAACGCCCAGTACGCCCAATTCGATGAACATATTCATCAACGGTGGAAGGAAGATCAAAATTAATAACATGTTGGACATTTTCAATATCCAGCCCTCTGGCGGCTACTGAAGTAGCAACAAGAACGGGGCACTTTCCACAGCGAAAATCTCCAAGGGCCTGCTCTCTCTCTCTCTGTTCCCGGTCACTTGAAAGAAAAGGATGCTTGTATTAGAACTACTTTTTCAAATAAATATTACTAAAGTTCAATATATACATTTTAAATAACAAAACAGCAGAATTTAGTATTAATGTACACTCTTACATTCCAAATACCACACTAAATCCTTCTAAGCCCCAATTTTATCTTCACAATACTGAGCTGGAACAATTAACCCTATTTGCAGATGATGTACAATATAGCTAATATATAGACA